TTTACAAACAACATGATAAGTTGTTACCTAAAAAAATGAAATTTAGGCACGAAATATAAATGACATAAGCAATATACATTCCCCTTTTTATATGACGAGTCCATATCTAGCATTTGTATAGCCAATATGCAACTGATAAAACTCATAATAAATGTGTTTTATACACAGTTTTTATATGCTGTCATCATTGCATTTGCTGTCATCGACTATTATGTATTAGGTGTTTCGGAGGTTTTGTCAACATAGCAAGGTCACCTGTATATATATTTCTGACCAAATTAAACGATAACGGCTAAAATCGAAATTAAGAATATTCTAGAAATTTAATACACTGATCACCAAGTTGCTGACATACTGTTTACATTTAATCTGAAACCATTGCATTATTAATCTAGCAGCTGGTAAGAATTCCGTGGGAACAACTTGCACTCCAAGGTTTGATCTTCGGGCGCAAGTTGTTCCCACGCAATTCTTAAAAGTCTTACCAGCTGCTTGAAATTATATACGTTATAAGATCATATTCATTATACTTAGAGTAAGAACAATCAAATAACATGGATGGGTAATATTTTAATTTCATTGGTTTTTATAGCGAATTATATTACAAGTATTATTGCAAGTAACATTTTTATAATCCAAAATCCTGGTACCGGTCCCAATCCCGGTATTTCGGTTTTAATCCCGGTCCCGATCAGGGTTTGACTGTTGATTACGTAATAAACATTTTCTTTTTTACCCTCTAGAATAATAACAATTTGATAATATTTTAATTCAAATTCCACTCAATTTCACTCTGATAGAAGTAGAAAATAAGTATCGTATTCTGAGTGTGCGACAAAGTTTAGCTAATCTAGTATAAATCTTGTCTTATAACTGTTGAATCCCTGCACTCTTTAAGTTTATATTAACCAATAATATTTTATGATTGTTAGATTGATCTAATCTGTGATCTACTAGTACTTCATTTCAGACTAAGGAATTCTTAATTAGACAGCTATAATAGTTACCAGATTCACAAAAATGTAAACTTGTACTTGTAGTTGTTTCATTATAGTATTAGTACCTAACAACAATAAAGTTTCTTTCTGAGTAGTTCATATGGGAGTATGGGTCACGTGGCTAATGTTCAGAACAATTCTGAACATGCTTGATTAAAAGTTGTGTGTGTACCAATAATTAATATACTATTACTTAAGTCTTAAATCTCAACAACCATCAATAAAAATATAAAGTCCCGGCTAGGAACCGACCGGAATATTTTATATTTTGCTGCATGCTGGATCAGATTTTGCCAGATATCAATCTATTATCCGGTTAGCCGGATTTTGCCGGACCGGAACCGGTTATTAGGAAGGGCAAATGTAAGGCTGCCAACCGGTGGGTTGGCTTTTCGGTTTTCCGAATTCTTTTAAAAAAAATATTTTGCTGGAAACCACTTTTTTCCACGTTTCATGCAGGAAGATATCCCCTTGGAATACAACTGAGTAAGCTCTTTCTTGACTTCCACAACAGGCTCGTCCTCCTTGACAGAAAAAACTCACCACAGATTGTTCGCCATGCTTTTGTAGAGCAAAGAAACCTAGAGCTGACCTGGTTCCGAACATCGAGAGCGCTGACCGACGCATTTGACCCAGGAGCAATTAAACGAACAATTGTCTCGAAGAATGTTCCCATGCCGAACAGCCAACTCGTTCGGAGTAGAATGAGAAATTGGTTCCAAGAAAAGTGGGAAAAAGCTCGACTTGAAAACAAAAAGCTTACATTCTACAACGAAGTCAAAAGCAGCTTTGGATTAGAACCATACCTGTCTCTACCCAATCACAAGAAAACCCGATGTACCACATGGCTGAGGACAAGCTCCCACAAACTTAATATCGAGACGGGGCGATATGGCTGGAAAAACTCAAGCATCTTCTACAGAGCTTGCCACTTCTGCTGCAGCTCAGACAGAATCACCATAGACCTCCTGAATGAGCTCCCGTTTAGTGACATCATTAAAGAAGACGAAGTCCATTTGCTTAAAGAATGTCCTGTCTACAAGGAGATCAGACAAAGAAACAGCACAGACCTTCACAACATACTCACAAATAGTCAATTCAGTAAATTATTTCATGAGGATTACATTTTGGAGACCAGAAATTTTGTTTATAATCTATTTCGTGAAAGATTTCCTAAAAGTAAGCTATGACTTAGTATCCTTATTTCGTGCACACTTTTAAACCTTTTAATTATTTATTTAAGATATTATGTTCTTTTTATTGTTTGGTTGAATAACTTTTATTTAACTGATTGGGATCTGACACATGTAATTTTGTAATGATCTTTCTAATTTCTAATTTCTAATTTCTAATTTCTTAATTTCTAATTTGCTACCCTAGCCTGTTCATTATTAATATTAGCCGAAAATATTTTTTGTGGTTTTCCGAAGTCCGCATCTACGACTATCCCTTACCTGAGGACCCCAGGCTTTAATGTTGGTAAACAACCGAATAGAGATTAGGCGGAATGACAGGCTGAGCGCGGCCCAGTAAACTATCCCTCGATACACCATTTTGGACTCGAGGCTTCCCCTTGTGATGGCAATGCGATCTCAAAAAGCAGGCCTCCCCTTTGCAACACGAGCTCGGAAACGGGAGCTCTGCATGCCCTTGGATGTACGTTTTAGCTTTACCCTGATCAGGGGTCCGGGTAAGCTCCCCTACGCGCACAGACGGGATCTCTCCCCTGGACGTTTTTATTGCTTATTCCGATATAAAGAAACGTTTAATAGCCGAATTAAAATGACAATTTTTTATTTATTATTAATTATTTAATTAATCCTAATTTATATTGTCATACGTTGTATGACCCGCCGCGCACGAAGTGCGCGGCTCCCCCTGTATCGTCAGGACCATAGTGAAACGACCGTGGGGGTCGCAACGCGTGATACAAAGTTTATATTGATTTGGAAAATTTCTTGAATTTTGTGGTGAATAATGTTTTATAACACTAACTGCTAACAGTCTTTACCAATACATACTTCATTTTGCACAGGATGATGACATGATTAGTCACTCTACACTCTACTTAAAAAATGAAAATGGTTTCTATAGAATGTAGAAAAGAACTTGTGTAACTGTAAGTGGTAGTAATAGTATTAGTAGGAACTAAAGTGCGGACATTGATCTTGGCAGGGAAGTTCATGGAATTATAAATCATTTAAGGACTTATAAACTTATAAAGCAAACTGCATCTATCTTGCCATTTTCTGCAAAACGAGCTCGGAAGCGGGAGCACTGCCCTCACTCTCAGAGGTACGTGTGTAATAATTTCTTAAGGATTCGAGTCAAAATTGGACGAAAACTGTGCATTTCAAGATTTTAGAAATACATTTTTTTGAAGAAATATCCGGCAAAATTTTCGGAAACCAGACCGGAACCGGATATTGAAGCCGAATATGATTCAGCCGGATATCCGGTCGGTGCCTAGTCCTGGCTACTCGGAAGTTTTGCAAGAACTGCCGACAATCCCCCATTTTGCATTTGTCATCGTGTTACACAAAAATACAAATAATTACAATAAACTTACTTATAGTAGGTTTGCAGTCACTTTCAGTTTCAGCCATTCCTAACTCAGCGCCGACACCTTTTCCTTCTGGACAAGGTGACAGGTGTGCAGTCAAAATCGTTGTTATTTTCACTTCAGTGATGTGCAGGACACTCTTCAGTACACCTATTGCATATGGTGTCCGAATCATAGAATCTTCCAGCATGGCAAAGATGAAGGATTCAGGATTGGGCTATATTTTAATTTATTGAACTGAGAACTAAGAATCTTACTATTATACTATATATACTATATATATATATATACTATATATATATACTATATATACTTGTCATACGTTGTATGACCCGCCGCGCACGAGTGCGCGGCTCCCCCTGTATCGTCGAAACTCTACAGGGGTAGCGACCGTGGGGGTACGGTCACCACGTGATACAAATATATACTATGTATAAAGCGAGACGATATATATGTATGTTTATATATCCGTACCATTTTACTGACACCACGGCTTTACTATACTGTATACTTAACACAACTTTCCGCAAAAACCGTAAAAGATATATAACTTAAACTCTTTTGACTGGTTCAAATGCTCTAAATCTAATGGCCTTCAAATCAGCATGAAAAATTAAAAATTGGCCAAGGAATAAGAATTTTAGTGCCCAAAATTTGGACTCCCAAGTCCCAAGTGGTGTCAAAAACGCGAATTAAATAGGTAATAATTATTTTAGTCTCTTAAGTCTTGACACAACTTTAGGGTTGGAAATAGACCGGTTCCTGCTAGTTACAATAAAGTAGGAACTCGGTCTAATGAAATGATGTCCAGTCTTAACCTTAAATTTGACATAACTCACTAGCTGAAAAAGCTCTGATACGTCCGATTAGAACCTGTAAGACTGGCCCCTAGCTCGCCATTTTTGAGATTCAAGCAAATCGAGGATGTTCAAAGGGTGCAGACGCAGTATGTTCAGCTCGACAAAATACCAGTGGAAATTATTTTGTACGCGTAGGCGGTAGGCCCCAAAAATATTCCTGCAGATTAAATATAATTATAAACAACTCTTTAGTTGAATTCATCGGCTCATAAATTCAATTTCGTAACCATGATACCAGCGATGTTTTAAACTAATTTCACAACTACAATTAAATACATTTATTGAGTAAATGGCATTCAACATGGCCGCTGGATTACTGATGACGACTGCTTAAAGACAGACGAAACTATAGTATAAAAGGCTGCGAAGAGTGTGACGAATTGGAATTTATTTACTGTTTTTTTCTGAATCTGGTGTAGTATCATTGCTTCATTGGCTTTATTGAAATGATGAATGGCCCAAACATAACAACGATGTAAGACCTAAAAGTGAACAGCAGCGTTTATAAATTCTCTTAACATGATTTCATTTCTGAATTTGCTCTGGAACCACTAAGTCAGAATTAAAAGAAACAATTTCAGTCATTAAAACATTCATAAATCGGTTTCAAAATTACAAAATAGTGATTCAAAATCCAAGCATAAAAAATTTATGTTCTCAATATACAACACGACATGTTTCACTTTGAGACTAACGTAACCTGCTAAAGAAATGAACATATCATCAAGGAAAAAAAGCATGTCGAAGGTTTAATCTAGCTCGTGATCTTTGCTCCAAATGAATATTTCAAAATTTAGGTTATAAGCCAAGATTGAATTTTATCTGTAAGTGGTCAACACAGTTATTATGGACCAGTTATTTACATTACCAAAACATGAATGATGTCATATAGAGCAGATAACAATTCCATCTAAAATTGAGCACTATTTCGCCGCCCGCAGCAATTAAATGACTAACACTGCGGCTGTTAGTCATTATAACAGCCACGATTTAAATTCACAAGAAAAATTCAACAAAATCACAAAATCAAAAAAACTTAAAAGAATATAAAAACAGATCACATTAAAACGAAGAATTGTTAATCCCCATTTCCTTGCACTTAGCAACCAACATCTCAGTCTTTTTACACTCATCCTGAAACTCCTGAACCACGGAGTGATACCGCCTCCCCTCCTCCACCAGCCTCAAATACTCATCATTCAGTTTATCCTTGTTTGCCTTCACGTCCGCTCGTTTCTTCTCGATTCCCACCTTGCTCTGCTTGGCCCCCTCAACCAGCTGCTCAAACTGCTGGAGGAACATGAAACCGTTTTCAATGTTCACGATAGCTTTTTGGAAGCTCTCGTTGATAGAGTTCAGTCTGATCAGGTGTTTTCCCAGGTAGGTTTTAGTGTCGCTGAGGTTGTTGAAGAGGGCGTAGAATTGTTTGGTCTCCGTGTGGACTGCCCCGGTTTGTTGGTGGAGCTCTTCAAACCTGAGGGGGTTGGGAAATCAGGAGGGAATCAGGCGGGAATCAGGCGGGAATCAGGCGGGGTGTGCCGGGGGGGGGGGGGGGGGGGGGTGGGAACAGGCGGGAATCAGGCGGGGGGGGGGAATCAGGCGGGAATTACTAATTATACGTCATATGATCTGACCCCTAATAATCGGGGGCCCCCCTTTGTCGTGCAGCCAATCAGGGGCGGGGGGGGGGGGGGGAATCAGGCGAACAGTAGTAGATACAGTACAGTAAAACCAGGATATAACGTGACCCGATTTATCGCAAACCCCGATTTACCGTGGCCTTTTTCTTACCCAAACTCCTCGATAAATCGGGGGTTTACTGTGAATGGGACTGGAAATGCCATGTTTTCTGTTAACATTCTGACAATATCAACTTGATTATTATTTGATGTTATTGTTGAAATAAAGATAAAAACTATAGTCAAAGATAACTCGTATCGTTGATAGATTCTTAAATAAATAAGCTGTCATTCTTACCGCTTCTGATACTGAAGGAGTTCAATTCTCGTAGGAATTTCATCAACTTGCCGCTGTAAGGCTGATATAGCGTAGTTCTTCTTTGCTATTTGCAACCGTAACTTATCTAACTTGGTCTTATCCTTCTGGTACTGTTCCTGGACTATTTTAGTTCTTTTGTCCTTTTCTATTGTTTCTATTTTCTCTGTTAACTCACTCATCTTCTCTCTGGGCGGGGTTTTTGTTAATGGTTAGTTTTTTAAATACATCACAGTAGCGATGATGATAACAAAAATTATTCATCATTGAACTTACAATTAACCATATTTTTTCAGCCTAGAAGTTATGATATTAATCTATCTACAACAGTAATTCATTTGAAGTGCAAGTGTAGTGGTGCCACCTGAAGTCTTTAACTTTCTCCTTGCACTCCTTAGTAAACGTATCCTTCTCCTTCATTATCACATCATAAGTTCCAACTAGTTTCTCAACTTGCTGTGCCTCTGGCGGGAAATACTGATCATAATAATGACTCGGAGCATCTCTTGCAATTAAATTATTCGGTGAATAACATAGGAAGCCGTGAGATATCACTCATACAAGATCGGCTACATTGAAAAGTAATGCAAAACGCCGCACCCAAAATGTGACAGTGAGCGCCTAAAATGTGTCAGTAAATAAGGATTGAGAAACTAACCGGCCGAGGTGATGTTCATGTTCTTCTTGTGTGCCTCCTCCAACTCTGCTATCTTCTCGTTAGCTACCTGTTAGATTGTTGTAGGTTTATAACCTATTTGGAACAAATATTTTACGAGTATTACCCGTTAATTAGATTGTCACGGTTACAATACGGTATATGAATTTCATAACCTTAATTAAATTTCTTGAAATTATCTTATTTCTTGTCAGTTGTTAAAGAGACATGATTTGAGAACCAGTTTATTATCTTAGGTCTAACATCAAGGATCACCAGGAAGGACCATATACCTCTATCTTGCTGTCAAGTCCATCTATTTCCTCAGAAATAGACCCGTAGTTTGCCCTCATCTCAGCCATAGTAACAGATGATTTAGAGAGTATTTCCTGTACACTTGTTATCTGAGAGTTCAGGGTCCGGATAGCTCTGTCTTGAGAGTTTATCAGCGCTTCTCGCTTGTTAACTTCCTGTATTAGTGGGGTGTTAGCTCTATCTGGAGAGTTTATCAGCGCTTCTCGCTTGTTAACTTCCTGTATTAGTGGGGTGTTAGCTCTATCTGGAGAGTTTATCAGCGCTTCTCGCTTGTTAACTTCCTGTATTAGTGAGTAAGTGAGGGTGTCTATGGTAATAGTTCAGAGCCCAACTCTTATCTAACTTCTTATTCTGACCACACACATCTGAGGAAAAAACCTCCAGATCAGATAGAGTTTGGATGGGAGACTTCTGTAATTTATACCTAACTAAGTAACTAATAACCTAGAACTTAATTTGATTACCCTAATTATTACCCTAATTACCCTAATTATTACCTCGTTTATTTCAGCCTGTTTCTCCTCGTACTCGGTAGCTACTTGTGTCATTTCACTTGTTTTAGTTTGCAGAATAGCACCTGTAAGGATAGAATAACTAGTTCCGTGAGTCCACAATCTCAGAATATCAAGAGGTACAGAGTTTAGTTTCACAGATCACAGGCTTGAAGTGTGCAAGAACTAAGAAAGCTACGCAGAAATTTTTAAATCGACGGAAAAGTAGTGTTAACCGTACAATTGAACAGCAAGAAAAGTGCTAGAAAACAGCGCTTAAATAGAAGTGTGCAGCTCTTAAACAGAGATTTATATGGGGCTTACAACTTACGATAGAAGGTCGATCTTTTTCCTAATGATATTTCGGTTTGAAGCGAGTTTCCAGCCCTTTGATTCATGTTTTTGAACACATTATTTTCTATTCCATATCGATTACCGATTAAAATCACAAATTGCGGGTGCAGTTACATAAGCAGTACCCTACAAGCTACATTATACATCCTGATTGCGGTTGCTATGGTGGCAACACCTACCGATATTAGAGGAGAGGTTAGATTTAGCTCCGGGAGCAGGAGCAGAGGACATGTTGTTCAGCAGTGCTTTTATGTTACTCTCATCCACCTGCTTTCTCTGGTACTCCTTCTCCCGCCTCTTCTCCTTCTCTTCCGCGGTTCCAGGAGGATTTTACATATAATAACAATTGCTTTCTCTGGTACTCCTTCTCCCGCCTCTTCTCCTTCTCTTCCGCCGTTCCTGGAGGATTTTACATATAATAACAATTGCTTTCTCTGGTACTCCTTCTCCCGCCTCTTCTCCTTCTCTTCCGCCGTTCCTGGAGCATTACACAGGATTTTACATATAATAACAATTAAATTATAAGTCCACTATCGTGAACCGTCATAATTGTGAACAAAGCAGTTGAATAGGTTAACAAATTATGAAAACATTCTCAGTTTTGTTTGAAATCAGGGCCTTAATTAGGAATAATTATTTGCCTTCAGTTTTAACTTCTTACTGTTTGATCTATCCCAATATTTAATAAATAAACAGTTATCACAAGCAATAAGCAATACCCAATGCTTCGTTAGAGTCGGAATTCGGATTCTCTAGAAAAATCGATTAGAAAAAAATATAATTATGGTGATGAGCTCTTTTTCTAATCCATTTATCATACAAAATATACAGGGTGGGCCAAAAGTCAGTACCCATACGTTGGCCTTAATAGCTCCGCCGTATATTTTGACCCCTAATGGTCTTTGACTCCGAATTTAAAGGATTTATAAAGGACCAGTCCTTTTCGCATACAATCTTTATTTCCCTTTAGCGGTTTCGTTCGAACCATTAAACTAGATAATTTTTGTTAATAAGAGCAACCCTAACTCTAACAGAATCATGACCTTCCCTTGAATACCCACTAAAGATGTTGTCTCTCTCACTCTCTTTTATTGGAGCATTCTTCTCAGTGTTAGAGGTTGGATCATTAATCCATCACGCATCTCACATTAGAGGCCCGATTACTGCAACCACTCTTTCGGGCTGCCTGCCTGCTGTGTCCATGGACCACACAAATCATTCGTTGTCCATTTATGTATTTATACACTATACAGGGTCCTTTGTAGCATAGTTTAGACAATTAGGCTATTATGATGCTAAGTTTTAACCAACGAGAGCAACCTCTTCGATGGCAGGTAGGTTTCTCTCTGCATCATTTGGGCTTTTGCATATTTATACAGGGTCCTTTGTAGCATAGTTTAGACGATTAGGCTATTATGATGCTAAGTTTTAACCAACGAGAGCAACCTCTTCGATGGCAGGTAGGTTTCTCTCTGCATCATTTGGGCTTTTGCATATTTATACAGGGTCCTTTGTAGCATAGTTCAGACAATTAGGCTATTATGATGCTAAGTTTTAACCAACGAGAGCAACCTCTTCGATGGGAGGTAGGTTTCTCTCTGCATCATTTGGGCTTTTGCATATTTATACAGGGTCCTTTGTAGCATAGTTTAGACAATTAGGCTATTATGATGCTAAGTTTTAACCAACGAGAGCAACCTCTTCGATGGCAGGTAGGTTTCTCTCTGCATCATTTGGGCTTTTGCATATTTATACAGGGTCCTTTGTAGCATAGTTCGGACAATTAGGCTATTATGATGCTAAGTTTTAACCAACGAGAGCAACCTCTTCGATGGGAGGTAGGTTTCTCTTTGTAGGATAGTCCACCAGTGGAGCGAGCTGCCAGTTTGAGTCTTACTACTTTCCTCACCTGCTCATGTCCCAATATGCAATAATATTAATATTACTCATATTAATACCCATAACCTCGATATATGCTAAGTTAAAAAATGACATTACTTGTACCTGGTTCAGTTTAGACAATTAGACTATTATGATGCTAAGTTTTAACCAACGAGAGCAACCTCTTCGATGGCAGGTAGGTTTCTCTCTGCATCATTTGGGCTTTTGCATATTTATACAGGGTCCTTTGTAGCATAGTTTAGACGATTAGACTATTATGATGCTAAGTTTTAACCAACGAGAGCAACCTCTTCGATGGCAGGTAGGTTTGTGACATCTTGGTTTTATTCATTTTTGCTTGAGGTCTGACTTTAGGATAGTAAGTAGAATGCTACCACTTCTGCTAAGCCCAACTATCCCAGATACCACTTAGGGGACCCCCAATTATTAGGGGTCCCTCGGTGATCAGATCATGTCACCAATTAGTGACGTATAATTAGTGATGTGATCCTTCAGTAGAATTTAATTGTAGATTTCACACATACACACACACAGATTTATTGAGATTATTACTTAAGATATTTATAAGTATAATCACTGTTATTGTTAATTAGCGGACTAACATCGCTCGCTCGCTTTTCCCATTCATTCACGGCCTACAAATAATTTATTATTGGCGAATGAATTTCCCAAGGGTTTAAGATCTTAAAAAGTTAAGAACAGCTGCCCACGCGCTACAGCTTGAGTTAGGCACTAGGCAGTGATTACAGTGATAACTGTTGATTGACCCTTCCAGATCGTAGAGGTCTGCAACACATGCTCGATTTGCACATGCATTGTTTTTATCTCTCTATAACTATAATAATAAAGTAATAAGCAATTAAAAGTTATGTCCGTAGCCCGCTCGTCGCACGTGCATATTAATTATGAGTAATTAAACTTGCATGTTGTAGCATATTATTATATATTTTACCAAAACTCATAATTGGGTAGAGTGGACCGTTGCCAGTGTTTCACAAAACTCGGAGCCAAAACTGGATCATAATAATAAATTGTGATAAAGAGCATTACTAGAGCTACTGTTCGTAGTAAGGTTCGGTTCTCCTCTATACTACATAGGTTTTGGACTCGAGGCTTCCCTCTGGTAATGCGATCTCGGAAGGCAGGCCTCCCCTTTGCAACACAATGTCGGAAGCGGGAGCTCTCGATATAGGTACGTATCGAGAATGACTCGGACCGAAAATGTTCTAAGTCAAAACTTTTTCAAAGTTTTCTGGAAATCACTTTTCTCCACGTTTCATGCTACCATGTCCATTATTATCCGAAAAAATTTGTTCGGTTTTTTGAATTCCGCACTTTGTCAAAACATTTTTGATTTTTCAAAAGATTTGAGTTAAAAAGGGAAGAAAAATATGCATTTCTAGATTTTAGAAATACATTTTTTTGAAGAAATATCTGGCAAAAATCCGGCAAAATTTTCTGAAACCGGATATTGAAGCCGGATATCCGGCCGGATCCGAATTCAGCCGGATATCCGGTCGGTTCCTATTGGTGTGTAATACCATTATAGTACGTGGGTTTTCAATTCTTCTATTGTGTTATATAATCAGTAATGTTGCCCTGTTCTGCATCTTAAACCAAAGGCTAAAGCATGATTTTCTATTAAATTTGCAGCTTTAGTTCGAAATCTTTTACTTCTATTTGCTATGATTGTTGGAAACTGTAAAGCGCCCGCTGGTGGATGTACTACATATCCTACTCGCCTCGCGGGCGGAATTCCGTATAGCACTCAGGCCCTCCGGGCTATACAGGGATATGTCGTCCTTGGGCTGTGCGCCCTCGAGGACATATATTATATCGCAGCGCGGGCGCAGGCGATGTAAATTTCCGCCCGCTAGGCTGCGTGGATATATATATATATATTATGATTGGCTACTGGGACACGTCATACACACGGTTGGATTGTTAATTCGGTTGAAGTACCTTTACATCCATTATCACCATAATCTGAACATGATTTATTAAAAATTTGCAATATCGAAAACGAAAAATCTGAATAAACTGAAAATTTTAAAACTGAAAGCTGCACTCAATTGATGGAAGGCAAAAATTTACTCATAACTAGCAAGGTAATAACTACAAATGAACAGCAGATTTATAAATCTGCTGATAAAAATTAGATAAAAGACATGGTAACTGATAAGAGTTTGAAATTACACGTAAGCAGATAAATTGTCTAAAATTTTTGTCTCAAATCAAGTTTATAGTGCATCATGAATTTAGGCTTGTTCGATCAAAGTTATATTAGGAGATATTAGGAAAATAGTTCGGTCGGCCGGAAGGGAGTCCAGACTGAGTGTGGTGTGGAGGCAGGATCACCGAGAGACTCGAGATGCTTGTGAGAGTAGTGTACTCATCTAACCGCCATCCAGTATGTGCCACCGGTAGAAATACATATATTATGATTGGCTACTGGGACACGTCATACACACGGTTGGATTGTTAATTCGGTTGAAGTACCTTTACATCCATTATCACCATAATCTGAACATGATTTATTAAAAATTTGCAATATCGAAAACGAAAAATCTGAATAAACTGAAAATTTTAAAACTGAAAGCTGCACTCAATTGATGGAAGGCAAAAATTTACTCATAACTAGCAAGGTAATAACTACAAATGAACAGCAGATTTATAAATCTGCTGATAAAAATTAGATAAAAGACATGGTAACTGATAAGAGTTTGAAATTACACGTAAGCAGATAAATTGTCTAAAATTTTTGTCTCAAATCAAGTTTATAGTGCATCATGAATTTAGGCTTGTTCGATCAAAGTTATATTAGGAGATATTAGGAAAATAGTTCGGTCGGCCGGAAGGGAGTCCAGACTGAGTGTGGTGTGGAGGCAGGATCACCGATATATATATATATCTACCACTTAATACTAGATAGAGCTGTAGTAAGTGTATTGTTGTATCAACTGTAGAATTGTCCCAACACAATTTTATTTCCACCTAGCTTTTGATGATATTCATAATTTTTGTCAATAATTTCTGAACCTTTATAGACTATAGAGGTGCATCATTTTGATATTTCCATGCTAAGTTACTAAGTCTCGATTGAATGACTTAAATTTACCGTTTTTGGGTATATTATATTGTTTATGTCGAAGTGTGTGGTAAATGATGTAGTTTATTATTTATAGCTAAGAATGGGAAGATACTTGGTTCTTGTGGTTCTTGTCATCTGTGCTAAGCTCCCACTATTATCAGGTAAGCCATAAGATAGAAGTTAATCATAATTAAATGTTATTAAAGATTAAACTTGGTCACTGAATTCTGAAGCAGCGCGTGAGCGCGCTGATTCTTTCGCAGAGCGAGTATATCCGTAGCTGACTGATATATATTATCTTGATAAAGTGAAATATGTACCGATTTACAGGAATGCATTGATAATAACATCATGATCTTGTTTTCAGGTGAATCTGTAGAGTACACGCTTATCCAAGAAACTGGGACCAATAGTAAATGGGCTGACGGAGTTAGGAGCGGTGCATATTTCTTCACCCTTATCGGGAGTGAGGATGAAACAGACCC